GGGACGACTCACTGAGAAGCCGCTGCAGTGGGGGTGGGGGGAGGTGACAACACCTTCCCTAGCAGGATGCCCGTCAACAGATCCCACCTCAAAACGGGTGAATCAACATGAAACAAGCCCCACGGCACAGAAAGGTGTTCCCTGATATGTGCGAGTAACAGGCAAGTGCTGTGAAAATTAGCTGAAAGGAGCGGTAGGAAGGGGAGAGAGGGCGGACTCTCACCAGCTTTCATTATTTGCTAGATTTTTTACCAGGAGAACGTAAGCTGTGACGTTAGGAAGGGGCAGTGCAGTGGCCGTCACACGTCCCTCACCCTGGCTGTGACGGTCCCGTGCTTCTCCCCCTTGTTGTTGATCATGCGGACACCAGCCGCCTGGAACATGCCCTTCATCTGCTCGGGGGTGGCCGTGGTGGCGAAGTCCACGTCCTGCGGCTTCTCCCCGTTGAGCAGGTCGCGCACGGCACCACCCGCGATCCGCAGCTCATGGTTTTCTTTGACAAACAATTCTGATGAGAGAGACATTTTCATCTCCATGTGTTTGTCTGAAGGAGCCCCGGGGACGTGGTTTCCCAGCTGTGAGAGCCGCAGAGGTCCCTGCCCCGGCGTCTCCTGTGGACGTGGAGGACAAGCCCACAGGGAGGAAGGGAGGCCCCGGGAATGCCTCCCCCAGAGCCTCAGGGGGCCTCTCCTGCTGGTGCAGTTCTGGGAGCTTAGCGGGAGCTGCATCTTTATGCCTCCTGGTCCGTGAGAGGTGCCTGTCTGTCTCCCCTCCGGGCAGAGCCCTGTCTGAGAGGTGCCTGTCTGTCTCCCCTCCGGGCAGAGCCCTGTCTCACCCGCGCACAAGCCTGGCTCGTGCCTGCACCTCCTGTGTCCTAGCTTAATAAAAGGGGCTTCACTGGAAAGCGTGTTTTTAAAAAAGGATTCTCCCTTTGAGACAGGATAGGTAGCAGAGCAACTGTAATAGGTAAAAACTACAGCTGTCAGGGAGGAACCCCCCAGACCTAAGGCTCAGAGCCGGCAGAAGACGGGGATCCAGGGAGGTGGCTGGTTTCACCCCGCGGGACCCCAGCTGGACAGGGCACCGGAGCCACGGGGACCGGCCAGGGGACGCCCACGAGGGGTCTTCCGAGGGGCTTCACCCCGTTCCCTGAAAAACCCTCAATTTCCTCCCCGCACCGAGCGCCCCCCCGGGACTAAATGAGCCTCGGGGGGGGGACCCCGGGGAGGGGCTGCTGCCGCCCGGCTCCGGCCTCCCCCCGCCC